ATAATAATAATAATAATAATAATAATAATAATAATAATACTTTTGCCATTCATGTTGGGCCAGCTCTATTATATGCAATTCATGGGTATTAACTTAAAAAAAAAGTCCTAGCTAAACCCTCCAAGGTAGGTTTTCTTATCACTACCCTTTCCCCTATTGTCCGGGTGGAGACGCTGAGACACAGGGATATGAAGTGACCCATCCAAGGGCACACACGAGGCAGGATTTTAACCCAGGCAATTTTGCCAGTGTTTCTGCATTGGCCACCTACGTGATGGCCTTCTAGAGACAGCCCTGCCCTCCAGGGCAGGCGCAGAGAGCCCGAGGGGGGTCATCCCTCCCACCCTGCATCCCTGCCTATACCTGCGCGTTTCCCTGCTGGGGAAGCAGGCCCATACTTGGGCGGCCCCAGGAGCCGCAGCCTGAGCAGAGTGGGGGCGCGGCGGCCCTGCCCTCTTCTCCGCTCCCTGCCCGAGTTGTCAGCTAGATCGGATCCTCTGCCTGAGACCCCCTCATTAGGCCGTCAGAGCCGACGCCACACGCCCCCACTCCCGCCCCAAGGACTATTTCGGGACTCCGGGTTGTGATCAGGAAACCTGAGCGGTGGGGACTCGGCGGGCAGTGTGGATCCCGGTCCTGGGGAGGGGACGTCTCCCCGGCTTGAGGCCGCGAATGGTGGCACCCCCTAATGTTGGGGCGGGACGCTCAGAGCCCCGAGGAGGGGTTGGAGGCTGATGATGGTGGGAGGGGGAGGTACTCGGGTACATCGCGCCCCCCCCCCCAACACACACACTTATACACACCCCACGACGGCCTCGTAGAGACAGAGCGGTTTCCTACAGGAAACCCCGCCGGGCGGTTCCATCCGCTACCCATTGTCTGCCGGCCCGGGGGCCGTCCGTTCCTCCCCCCAACACCGTTTCCGTATCACCCCCCGCCCCCCGCACCCACACACACCCAGGTCCACCGTGAGGGGCTGAACCCGTGTCCCCAAGCTCTCCAGGAGCGACGCTGGGAAAGTCCCGGAGTCTGTTGGGGCGCTAGGTGGCGAACAAGCCCCCCACTGGGCTCCTGAAGGGCGGGAGGAGGGCGATCTCACGAAGCCAGAGCCCCCAGCTCTGCTCGCTGCCCACCTGGAGCTCCGGGTGTCGGGTGGGGTCCCAGCCAGAGGACACGCAGCCCGCCCCATCGCGGGGCGCTGAGCCCGCAGAGGGGCAGGAAGCTCAGTACCCCTTCCCGGTACGTCCCCTAGTGCCCCCCAGAACCCCCGCCGGTGGCCCCGAAAATTTGGTGCTTTACCTGAAGCAGCAGCCCCCGCCGCGCCCGCACCCGAACCCGCCCCCTCGGAGCTCGGGGACGGATTATCAAGGCCTGGTCCCTAACTGATGGCCGCTCTAGCCAACCAGGGCCCGAGGCTCTCCGAGCTGTCCAATGGTGAGGCGGGGTGGGCGGTGCTGGTCCGGCCCGAGTGGGGGGCGGGGCCGGGGGCGGGGCCTAAGTGGCCGTCCCTGGGCCCGGGAGGCGGGGAGGAGTAGGTAGGGGGCGGGGCGGAGGGGACAACCAAGTCCCGCCCAGGGCAGGGCTAAGGAGTTTGGATTTGATCCACAGGGCACTAGGGAGCCACGGGAAGACAACGGGAGACTAACCCAATGGGATTTGTGTGTTTGGAAGATCCTTTGGGCGGAAGCTAGAAGGACTGATGCTCATGTCCCAGTGTCTTGGAGAGGTACCAAGACCCTGGATCTTTCCTACCACAGGGTCTTTGCACAAGCTGTTCCATCTCCCTGCACTGTTCTTCCCTAAACACGTTCACATAGGCACCTTCTCCTATGTTGGAGGCTCGACCCGTGTGTTCCCACGCCCTAAAGCCCTAATGGGGTCCCTCTCCAGTCTCTGTCTTTCCCATTGCTCTGTTTTATTAAACTTGGTAGCTACTTTCACTATCTGAAAGAAGAAGAATTTATTTGTTTACTTATTTGTCATCTGTCTCCCCCACTAAAGTGGCAGCATCATAAAACAGGGGACTGATTGATTTTGGTCACTGCTTCATCCAGTGTTCCTGGCATATAGTAGATGCTTAATAAATGTTTATTGAAAGATTTTTTTTTTAATTTTTTAACGTTTATTTATTTATTTTTTTTTTAATTTTTTTTTCAACGTTTTTTATTTATTTTTGGGACAGAGAGAAACAGAGCATGAACGGGGGAGGGGCAGAGAGAGAGGGAGACACAGCATCGGAAACAGGCTCCAGGCTCCGAACCATCAGCCC